CTTAGTTACATGTTAATAAATGAGAGCTAAAATGAATTTACAAATCTTCCAATATTAATCTGTTGACACTTAGTTACATGTTTTAGCTCTCATTTATTCACTAAATGTCAACAGATTAATAAGGGAAGATTTGTAAATTCATTTTAGCTCTCATTTATAACATGTCACTAAATGTCAACAGATTAATAAGGGAAGATTTGTAAATTAATGTTAGCTCTCATTTATAACATGTCAATAAATGTCAACAGATTAATAAGGGAAGATTTGTAAATTCATGTGTTAGCTCTCATTTATAACATGAAGATTTGTAAATTACCCTTATTAATCTGTTGATGTTTAGTGACATGTTATAAATGAGAGCTAACATGAATTTACAAATCTTCCCTTATTAATCTGTTGACTTTTGAGACATGTTATAAATGAGAGCTAGCATGAATTTACAAATCTTCCCTTATTAATCTGTTGACACTTAGTTACATGTTATAAATGAGAGCTAACATGAATTTATAAAATCTTCCCTTATTAATCTGTTGACATTTAGTTACATGTTATAAATGAGAGCTAACATTAATTTACAATCTTCCCTTATTAATCTGTTGATGTTTAGTGACATGTTATAAATGAGAGCTAACATGAATTTACAAATCTTGCCTTATTAATCTGTTGACTTTTGTGAGGAAGCTACGTGTTATCTGAATGAGGGAAAAAGGGGTGGATTTGATATACTTAGACCTTGAAAAATCTGTTGATAAGCGGCCATAGAGAAGATTAGCTCTGAAATTATATCAGTGAGGGTTATGGAAAGACTAGTTGTTTAGACAGTAGGATGGCTAGGTTTGAGAAAGATTATGAAAAGTTGTTATAAATCCAGTCAAACTGGACCTTTAATACTAGTTGTGTGCCTCAGAAGTTTTTATTTCATGTTATGTTAATGACATTGATAGGAGAATAAGTAGTAAATCAGCAAAATTTGTGGATGACATTGAACTCTTGGGTTTTTCTAGCTGTATTGAAGATGTTGAGGTAATTTAAAATGATCAGTTAACAAGTAGCTGACAGATAATATTTACTTATAAAAAGTGTGATGTAATTCATTTGGGTTATCATAACTTAGAATTTAATATAGATTGTAACACACTCAGTAGTGTGACTGAAGGAAAGGATAGTGATAAATAAATCACTTAATTCTTAAAAGTAGTTCTCTGTTGTTAGTGGGAAAGCTAAAATAACTTAGAATGTATTTATAGATGTTTTGATCACAGGTCAAAAGAGATAATTATTTCTATATAAATTACTAGTTAGGCCTCACTTAGAATACTGTGTTATTTTGACCTCTTTACATAAGATAGAATAATGTTTAACTGAAAAGGATTCAGTGTTAGATGCCTTCTTCTAAACATGTATTGACTTTTATTTTATTGTTAAATGTTTTATTTTCATTCTTTAATATTTTCTCACATGTGATAAGCAATTTTTTGGCTGGGACGTATTTTTCTTTATTGGCATTAATGAGTATTCGAATGATGTTTCATGCCAAATCTAAAATGTGTAATGCGTTTGCCCCTATTCTCAATTGAACTTTGCTGCTGTTGTTATGTTTTATTTAAGAATTTTTTCAAGCAATTTGTATATTTATATGTTCTGTAATGCAGTGTGTTTTGGGGTCTCAGATAATGTTTGTCTTACTCAAAAGTTATGTGCTGATTAGAGTTGAATTTTAACTTCCAATCAGAGCAAGCTAACCTTTCAAAAATAAAAATCAATGAAGCAAGAATGATTGGTAAGTGTTTTTAATCAATGGAAGTAAGTTGTTTCTGTCTGACCAAACTTTACTTTAGCATGTCGTGTAGTATTATGTAACTAAGACTGTACTTGCAACGAGTGGTTACACTTTTATCACCTGATGTCTATAACCTTTAGTATTGTTTAACAGTGAGCAAGGATCAAAAACTAGAATTTTGTGAAATACAAGATGATAAAGTAATAAAAAAGAAACGTACTAGAACTTTTTTTCCAACAATAGAATAGTTACTCGATAAGTAAACAAACGTAGCAGCTATAGATTAAGATAAAGATATACAGTTTGTCAACAGTGTCAAGCTTTGCTTTCTCAGGTGATACAAAGTAGGTATTTCATTGACAGACAGACAGAACTAATACTAAGGAAAAACAAGTTTTTAAAATATAATGTAATCCATGAACATACTTAAGGAAGTGATGCAGTAAGTTACTTGATTTTAATGGGATTAATAATTATATATTGATACCTAGGTTGGTGTAGTGAGATCTTAAGTTTTTTTTAGAAAAAGGAGATATCAGAATTGTTTTTAACAGCTTTGCAGAATACATCTCTTTGCAAGTTGGATAAAACCCTTGAAGATAATCTAATACAATCAGACTTTTCCAACTTTTTATGTCAAGGTTATATTGTTGAAGTTCTTTAAAGGTTGTAATGTTTAATTAAAAGTTTTGAAGTTGTGTAAAAATTACACTACAGAGTTGGAAGTTATGTATAGTTTAGATATGTTGTTTGTAAAAGATTTGGCCCAGACAGTTTTAATTGGAAGCACCTTTTTTTTTTATTTGTGAAACTTCAAATAGATACTTGAGTTATGTTTATAAGAATCCTGGTTGTAATGTTTGATTATTCTAGGTTTAGAATAAAGGATTATTTAAAAGTTTGAGGAACATGTAAATATTTTTATCTAGTTCAAGAAGTGAATCCTCACAAAGAAAATATTTTCCATCGACATAGATTTCTTGACTCCTTGGAGGAATGCTGGTCTGCAAACGAAATCATGGATCCAGATTTAACAGTCAAGAACAGAAGAAACCATAGTGACCCTAGTCACCTTCCCCCCTGGGTGTGGTTTATTGTTACCAAGTTCCTGGGTATTCATTGTGTCTCTGGAACAGCTCCAGTGTTTGGAACAGTGATTCACTCATTGAACTTTGCTTTTGCTTTAGGTTTTGTTGTTTCCCATGTGTGGCGAGTGGCCTATGATATTGCTTCCACCCACACAAAACAAGATGTTACAAATGGCTCTGTGAGCATTTTTATAGTCTTTTGTTGGTCAGCTTATGGATTTTATTCCAAGCACCTGTGTAGGAGACTGATTTCTCATCCCCATATTCTGAAAGATGTACACATGCATTCAAGAACTTTATTTAAGATACATACAACACTTCTGGTGTTTTTGCTCGGAGTTGTGTTTACTGTAGTTAGTAGTTACAATGGTGTTTCTGTATTTTGTGATGGCACGTGTTTAAACATAAACCTTAGCCCTCTGGTGTGTAAGGTGGAGTACATCTCAAGAGTATTATTTTCAAGTTTAACGCTAATATGGAGCTCTTTGGTAGCTTTTGTTTTGATTTCAGTATGCAGAACACACACTATAGGTGAGTTAACTCAGATTATATTTGATAACTGTTTATTGTTTGGGACTATACAAGAAAAAATTCATATTATTGCATGTTCTAGTGCATTACACATTTAAACTTGTATTGCAGTTTCTGTGTTAGTGCACGATGACATTATATCGACATAGTGTGTAAAGACTTGTCATTTGTAGAATGTTAAAACAAAAAATTACTGCTTTGTATGGATTTTTGAAATTTTGCAACCATCAAGTTTGGGTGAGCTTAAACTCAGTCGTAGTTCACTTTGTTGAGATAAGATAACAATGCCTTGGAATTGATAAAATAAATTACAGTGTACGTTAAAAAATTATTGTTAAATTTTTTGCTTTGTGATGGATGAAATAGTTGTTATAGAGTAGCAAGCACTATTTCATTGTTTTGTTTTTTATACATTCTACCAAAATTGTTGTATGAAGTACTAGGGATAGATATTTCCTTGTAAAAAAAGAGGTTTTTCATTGTGTTTTTATAATATATATATGTTAAATTCTATTCAAAATAGAGCTACTTTCAGTTCAAAAGTTAGATCATTGTTTCTAAAGTTATCAAAGTGTTTGGACAAACTTGCTATCTCTCTACATAATGAAGATTGTATTTGATGACAAGGAACCCTATTTTTAGAAAATTTAGTTTGGAGATGGCTTGAGTAGATAGTGAAAGAAACCTGATTACAAATGCACAACATTTTGATGAGTTATCTACTCCAGCCATCTCCAAACTTTAAAGAAGATATTATGTGGACTGTTCTTGTGGTTCATAGTTTTGGAGAAAATGTGAGAATCTGTTTCTCATAAATCCAGACCTAACAGGTTTTGTTGGTTAAATCCGACTAGACTTATTAATGATAATCTTAATTACTTATTTAGGTATTAGAAAGTTCATCAAGAGTATTGAATATGATGCAGCTTTACATGCAAAGGAAAATATTCACACTAACCAGTTTCTTCCTGTAACAAATGAAGATATATTTCAAGGTATGTTAATGAGAATTTCCTCACATTCCAAAACATACCTTCTCTCACACAACAGCTATTAATTACTTCACTGCCAGGGTTTCTTCCTTTGCCCATCTAAGCATTGGTCTGATTTTTCTTCTCACTTGCTCCAGTCTTTTATACCCCATTTAATGCAATATTTGTCTTGTGACACTCTCCACCTACGTCAGTGAGCCCTCTGTCCTGGTACTGTATATAAGCACCTCATTCAGTTAATGTTATCACTTTTTCTTGACACAACTTTCACCAATGAGTAAGGCATACATGATTCTGTCATTCCAAGCCTGAGGTGTTGCGTTTTGGGGTTCTTTAGGTGGAAGATTGTCTACTTTCTTGTTGTGATTATGGTGGTTCAGACTCTGTGGCTACAGGTTGGGATCCTCTCACAAGTATATATATATATCATGTTGTGGTCCAATTGTCCTAGCCACCAACATGGGAAATAGGGACCAAGACCCCATAATTCCAACCCAGAGTAGTGGAACCTTAGCTATCTGGTTGGAGCTCACCTATAATAATAATCACTCATATACAATTTCATCCTTGATACAGGGTGTTCAGGGTGAAGAGCACAATTGTTCTGGATGTACTGAGGTTTCCCCACTAGGGTGCCAATCTTCTATTGATGCACCCATGATCTATGCAGATACTTTCTGTATGGATAATGCCCTCACCAGCCTCTCCACCTTCTCAATGTGGGATTATAAGTGTTAGAGGAGGTAAGTATGTTTTGGAAGTTAACATTTTCCTAAACTGAAAATGTTTTTTCAATAATACTTACCTCTCCCACCCTTCCTCTCCACTAAGAGCTGGTGGTAGAGTTTGAGTCAGTCTCCAAAAAGTGATAAAGTTATCTGAATGAGGTGCTTATATACAGTACCAAGATAGAGGGCTCATTGACGTAGGTGGAGATTGTAACAAGACAAATATCACCAAGGGCAGTTAAGTGGGGTATAAAAGACTGGTGCAAGTGAGAAAAAATTAGACCAATCAGAGGTAAGTTTTATTGGAAATACATTTTCAATTGAAGAAAATGTCAACTTTCATGCTGCTTCTTAGTCGTTTTTTGATGTACATTTCTGTAAAGTATGCATTCAGTAAAAAATGTTTGTCAAAATTTTATTGATACATGATTTGTGAATAATTTCAATCTAAGAATAACTTCCAAGTCTTCCATAATTAATGAAGCTTTTTTAATATTTATTGGAAGGTATTACAAAACATATCTTGATAACTTTGTTGTGAATAAGCTCATCTGAAATTATTTTTTTTGAAGACTTAAATTCTTGTGACTGTTGCCTGGTTGTTGTTTAGCTAACTGTAACATAGTTTGAGTCTAATGTTTGTTCTTATCTTTTCAGTGTGTAAAGCTTCAGAATGTTACAAGTCTGTAATTAAGTAAGAATGTAAAGTAAAAACTGAATATTTCAACATTAATAATTCAGATAGTAAAGACACACATTCGGCAACAAAGGACACAAGCTCAAATCATGATTTGTTTTTCTAAGAAAGTATATCAAAAATAAATTTGCTTGTTATGAGATAAAGAATTGTTTTTTGTTTTTTCTGATTGTAAAATAGTTTAATATGTAAATTGATAGAAAAAATGTTTCTTTATAAGTAGTTAATGTGTTATAATTTGACATAAGTACTGTGTTTTAGAAAGTGTGTGGCTAGAAGATGAATTACCGAACAAAGACAGCTCTGAAGACTTTATCTTGCATACATCACCTGATCAGTTTAATTTTTCCAACCAGTTGCAATCATCATATAACCCAGATTTTGAAAAACAAAATACACCCAGTGGCACTTTCCTTCTGCCTAGTGAAGATGTTCATGGCTTATTTGAAAATTATTTTAAACGGGAGAATTTCCATCACAATGACAGTGTTTACTCTGTCACTGGACAAGGATGTGTAAGTTTTAGATTTCAAAATTAAGGAACACTGTTTTCTATAAGAAAAGTGTTAAACTAAGAGCTTTAGTTGCCTTCTAATGAACTAATAAAATGTGATTTCAAAATATGAATCAAACAATAAAAATCAGTTTCAACCATAAAATTTGCATATTTATTGGTATGATGACCTACTTAGAAAATAAAGAAGGAATTATTTGGGAAATGAAACATGTATGTAGTTTGATGAATACAATTTAGGGTTAGTGTTTATCGTGTAAACTAGAAAATGAGTGGAGAAGAGTATTTCAGAGATACCTCTTCACAAAAATATTTTTTGCACATGTACAAATCCTTGAACGAAACACCCACCCCTACATGTAGTAACGAATAACATGTAGACAGTTAATTTCGAAATTCGTCATTGCAGTAGTGACCTAGGTCTACATACCATGGACATAGAAAACAAACTTGTATATATATATATATATGTTTTTGTGTGTCTATAAAATATGTTGGGAGTTTTTCTCTCCCAATTTACACACCTGTGTACTCCCTCTGCTTCCTCATCTTTATTCAGATGGTTCAATTCCAGGTTAACTGTGGCTCTGTGTGTTTATAAAATATGTATATGTTGGGAGTTTTTCTCTCCCAATTTACACACCTGTGGACTCCCTCTGCTTCCTCATCTTTATTCAGACGGTTCAATCCCGGGTTAACTATTGCTCTGTGTATTTTTCAATCTGGTTCTGAGGGTACTTGCATCGAGGATGCATTCATTGAGCCTATATTTTTATTTCTACATGGACACCTGGTTCCTTCTTGCCCTTTCAAAGAGGCACCTTTGGCTGCTAACCTCTCCTTCTTATTCAGGTGTCATCTCATCTGGGTTGGTTAATTTATCTCTACAAAGCCATCTTGTCCCCACCCAGTATCTGATCATCTCATCTGGGTTGGTTGATTTATCTCTACAAAACCATCTTGTCCCCCACCCAGTATCTGATCATCTCATCTGGGTTGGTTGATTTATCTCTACAAAACCATCTTGTCCCCACCCAGTATCTGATTCACTTGAAAAGTTCTCTGGTGAAAAAGCTGTCAGTTTATGGACTTAGTGCTGCAGTTTGGGGTTTGTTTTTTGTCCAGTGGGTGAAACATGTATGGCCTATTGTGTAGCTTAGAACAAACCATCAATATGATATTCTATTTTATATCACTATTGGCCATCATTTTTTAAAGGGGGTCTTTTCAGCTCATTTGCAGACCAGCTCAGCCTTCCCATTTAGTTCTTTGTGACGTGGAGCTTCAGTTTACCAAAGCTCTCATGTTTCATGAGAGGTTCTGTTTTTTTAGGGGATTCTCACTTCTCTTGTGTCCCTTGTTGCTCTCCAGTGCATTCACCTGCATCTTCTTCAGTGGACTGATGGATCACTGGAGTGTGTCCAGAGATCTACTGTATTTTCTTGTGTGTGTGTTTCTCTTTCTCCATCTTATCACCTTTTGCTGTCAATAGGGTTCTACTGGTCCCATGTAACCCTTGGAATCCTTCTTCCCTGGACTTAAGTCTGTTTACAGATACCCCTCTGTCTAGATGGATTGTGGCTTTGGGATTGGTCTACATATGAGTGATCTCTTCTTATTAACATTCTCAAGATGTTGGCTGCTAAATGAGCTTGCCATCAACTACTGTATCACCTGCCTGGTTATCTTGTTAAGATCCGTTCAGACAAGCATCAACTACTGTATCACCTGCCTGGTTATCTTGTTAAGATTCGTTTAGACAAGCCATCAACTACTGTATCACCTGCCTGGTTATCTTGTTAAGATCCATTCAGACAAGCCATCAACTACTGTATCACCTGCCTGGTTATCTTGTTAAGATCCATTCAGACAAGCATCAACTACTGTATCACCTGCCTGGTTATCTTGTTAAGATTCGTTTAGACAAGCCATCAACTACTGTATCACCTGCCTGGTTATCTTGTTAAGATTCGTTTAGACAAGCCATCAACTACTGTATCACCTGCCTGGTTATCTTATTAAGATCCGTTCAGACAAGCCATCAATTATTGTATCACCTGCCTGGTTATCTTGTTAAGATCCGTTCAGACAAACCATCAACTACTGTATCACCTGCCTGGTTATCTTGTTAACATCCATTCAGACAATTTCTTTACTGTTGTTTCTTAAATCATTTCTTAGGGATACACTTGCACTTGGATCTGTGCTTTTTGACTTTTGACTTTCTCTTTTGGGCCCATGACCACCACATTTAGTTGCTGGTCTGTCATGACCTGGGAGTTTTCAACTTGGTGTCAGATTGACAGCCTTGATTAACCTGGATACTTCCCATGGTGTGATCTCTACATCCTCTGATGTTTTAGTGGTTCTGTTCCCAATTGGGAAGAATTCTCATCAGCACTTTTGCAATTCCTCTCACCATCAGGTTTTCACTATTTTAGTACCCAATCCAGGACTCTGTAGCTATATCTGTGGATGGTCTGAGACAGATTTGGTTCAGTCTCTTTCAATATGTTTGTCTCTGACTTTCCATCTCTTCCCCAGCCATTTTTCTACAGTTTAAATGGACCTCTTTTGAGCCTTTTTCATCAGCTGTCTCCTTGTCCATTTTTTCTGAACTCTGTTTAGTTATTGGGGCTTCCATGTGCCCCCTGTTTGAATTTTTGGTCACTTGTTTCCTGTACCATTTTTCTCTAAATATTTGTTTTCTTTTCCTTATGAAAAACAAATGTTGCTCCTATACCCACTACCTGAGGGACAGGTTGATTTTATTCCTGGACTGCTCCTTCCTTCCTATCTTTTCTGTATGATCATTCCAACTCCAATCATTTCCTTTGATCTGTATTGGCAGTTTGTTTTTATTTTGTTTGTAGTGCCCCCTTTTGAGGCACTTGACATTATCTCTTCTTGCTGTGAGGTTTCTCTTACTCTAGTTTATTCTTCCTTTGGAGATGATATATTTTGACTTTTTCATGTCACCTCTCATCAAGTTCATTATTTCACAACTTCTCTTGCCCCAAGTTGTTGACATCCTTTGGATGGGATCTTGCAATTGGGGATGTGAATTATCCCCCATACATTTTTGTTCCATTACATACGCTGCAGTGTGGTTTCACCTTCCCCCAGTCACCATTCTCCAATCTTCCTAGAGGCTCTAGAGAGGTGAGTTATTTTCAGACATTTCAGAAATTCAACTGATATTTGAATGTATTTTGGTACATTGATAGGCAAAGAAAAATGTTTAATATATGTGAAAGGCATCGATTCACTTCGAGCCATGATGTCAATACAAATTATTTATACTTTTGAATAATACAGATCATGTAGCGGGGCACTAAAACAACTAGAATCTTATATAATACAGATCATGTAGTGGGGCACTAAAACAACTAGAATCTTATATAATACAGATCATGTAGCGGGGCACTAAAACAACTAGAATCTTATATAATACAGATCATGTAGCAGGGCACTAAAACAACTAGAATGTTGTATAATACAGATCATGTAGTGGGGCACTAAAACAACTAGAATCTTATATAATACAGATCATGTAGCGGGGCACTAAAACAACTAGAATCTTATATAATACAGATCATGTAGCAGGGCA